TGTTATACAAATTCACTTAAGAAGGCGTTTGGAATACAATCATGATTACATGATCGATACCATATGCCCCGCAAAGATTATGGAAGCTTTGTAGTTCTTAGTGAATACCACTCTGTATCGTGAGCACAATATACATATTAATGAAAACTGGATTTCAGAATTTTATGACCAAGAAGAAGTTCCGTTTGTTGCATCTGCAGAGGATTCCCGATTGGTTCAATTTTTTCATGCGGCACAAACTTCTCATGATAATCCCTCAGGTAATAATATTCCCACGGGTCTTTTACCTTCAGAGCTAAAACCAGGCGGTCAAGAAACTCTTTTGGACAATATTCTTGTAGAAAACTTAAACTATAACCGTTTACTTATAGCGCCAAGCGAAGGACAAAGACCAATTGACATAATTCAAGATAATAATTCAGAAGAGTTGTCATTTGGAACAAAATACTTTGGGCAGAAGCGTACATGCTCTGAAACGTTTAGCAAGATAATACGTTCGAAAATTCGCTGTTTTGACAGAATAGCGTGTACGATTCCAAAGTTGTTCTATGATTACAAAAAATTAGATCTGCTACAAATTAAGAATAGTACATCCATTTGCCTTAGAAAGTTGTCAGGTCGCAAACGAGTTACGGCCCATAATCTATTAAACGAAAACTTTGTTCAAAACTTGATTCAACACGATTTGGGTTACGAGGTTTTGAAAGGCGTTAGATCCTCACCTGCGCACTAGGAAGCTGAAAAGAAAAAGGCAATCGCTATGATTCGCCAATTTGGGCTTTCAACCTTCTTTATCACTTTATCGGCTGCAGAATCTCAGTGGGTTGAGCTTTTGGTCATCCTCTCTAAAACTGTTGATTCTAAAGATATTTCGGAAGAGGAAGCCAACAGTTTAACAACCCAAGATAGATATCGCTTAATTCGGTCAGACGCGGTTACTTGTGCTAGATATTTTGACTACCGCTATCGACAAATTCTTAAGTTGTTTAAAGATAACGCATGTAAATGGCATGTATTGACTTAATAATGCTCCCAGGATCAACCTTCAAGATCCTCAGATATTCCCTGATGTCATTAGTTTTATTGAATATAATATCTACAGATGGTTCGATCAGCCACTTAGAAAATTATTTGGGTTATAAAAGAATAACCACAGTCGGTCTTGTACTAGGGAAATAAGAGGACAACAGTTTTGTCGTTTTGGTATACCATATCCACCAATGCCTTCAACGCAAATACTGTTAAAAAACTAAAAAAACACGCTTTTAAAAATATCGAACTAAAAAGTTGAAAATAAATAAAGTTTAAAAAAACTAAAGACACACGTTTTTAAAGAATATCGAACTAAAAAGTTGAAAATAATTTTAAAAATTAACTTAAAAAATAGTATATAAAAAATACTAGTATAATTGAGGAAAAAGCTTGAGGCGCTTTGTGCCATAATTTTCGTATATCGAGCGCTGCACTCTTTTTCCTTGTTTAATTTAATTGTGTAATCGTGCGGATGCTTTGCACAAACACTGCTCTATTCAGAATCACCACGCTATTTTACATGGGCTCAATCGAAAAGAATGGATTCAATGCAAACAAGGCACACCAGTTAATGCATACCACGGTTTATTCAAATCAAATATGATAATTTGGTACGTGTATATACAGTCCATTCAAAGCAGACTTAATGCTTTTATCAATTTTTCATTTCAAGATATACGTAAAGTAAGTAGACGAAAGCCAACCTATAAAGAAACATGCCCTGCACTAGACTTGCTGGAAGATGACAATCATTGGGGCAGTATGCTTGCTAAAGCAGCATTAAACTGCACAAGAACTCAAATTTGTCTACTATTTTCTATAGTACTGACAACATTTTCCCCTACCGATCACAAATTTTGTGGGATAATCACAAAGATTCGATGACTGATGATATATTGTATTGAAATAGTACAAGGTGCAACGATTTAACGATATCATTCAGTGACGCAATGTACAATGAAGCATTGATTACTATTGAGGATCATTGAATTGTCATTGAAAATTTACCAATCAGCATTATGCTAACAGCTTCGCAGGGTAAGGGGATTTTGTTTTTTGGACGCACCAGTTGGAACGGAAAATCATTTCTTATTTCGTTAATTCTTGCTGAGATACGATCAAAAAATTGCATCGCATTGACCGTTGCATCATCTGGCATTGCAGCAACTTTATTAGATGGAGGCAGAGCAGCCCATTCAGAAAAAAACAATCGTCCATGGCTACAATGAGACGTTGGATAGGATATTGAAAGATTTAAAAAACAATGATAAACTGTTTGGCGTAATGTTGAAATAGTACAACTGACAGTGAACATGCGCGTTCATATGCTCCAAAATCCATCTGCCGAAACTTTCTTAAAACAAATGTTAGATATTGGCAATAGAAAAGTTGCTTTATATGAAAATACTGGATACATAACATTTCCAACGGATTTCACAATCACCAACTCACAAAATACTCTTATCGAAAATATCCTGATGTACACACAAAAAGACAGAAAGAGTGATTTTGGCAGCAAAAAATATGGACGTCAACGGATTAAATTCAGAGATACAATAGTTGTTGCCAGAGGACTTCGTGTCATACAAATCTATCGGTGCTGTTTGCAATGCCAACGAAGTTGTGAATTATCCAATTAAGTTTTTGAATTCATTGGATATGCCGGGTATGCCTCGCGAAGGCAAACAGTTTGTTTTATTCACTAAAGACGGACGGACCAAAAATGTTGTACACTCGATTGCATTGAGAGATGAATCTTTGTTTATTTTTAATTTCCATAATTAGTAGTAGAAATAACAACTAATTGTATTTCAAAATATATTTGTTACTTTAATAAATAATAATTTATTAACTTATATAAAGTTTGTTTTAACTGTCTACAACTCTCTCTTCTTTATTATTACATCCCCGGCACACTTATAGCGTCAGCTATTTTTTAAAATATTTCCCAAAAATTACGTATATGGCAAAACAACGTTTGCCGGGTCAGCTACATATTCATAAAATTGTTTAAAAATATATTCTCAAGTATACCTGTCAACAATGTCAAAGTTAGTATAATCAGCCCGTCCCTTTCTCTGCCCGCAATATACTCGATATAATAATTTCCACCTGACATTAAATCGTTCCATTGGTCAAATGTGTGTGAATGAACAAGCTTTCTTAAAAATTATGTGGTTTAGCGCTTAATTAGAATGTTATTGGTCTATACCTTGGTATTAACCTCATATCCCTAATAAAATGAATTCTCTGACTGATGTTTTCCACATGAAGTCAATATATTGTATTAAATTTAGCCTTTTATGTCGAGTTGATCTCAAATACATACATACATCTTATTTGAAGATGTTTTTAATATAATTTTAGCTGACGCGAACTAAAATATAGCAATAAAACTAAGTCTCAGTTTATGGCCTTGAAAATAAGTCAAGAAGATACTAAATTTGATTGTAACTTATTCACGATTTTGTCGAATAATGAATGCTGAACTCATTCGCAACATTTTTTAATATTAGGTCAAGTAAAAAGTTCGTTCGGTTTTTCTTTAAGAGATGGCGGTATTGTCCATAATACTAGTGTTACGTGTCGCATCATGTCATACTATACGGCGCTGAAAACGTCTTTATTCGCGCTAATAGTTTGTCCTTGACAGTTTTTCGATTGATTGACTCAGTACGTTGTGAGCGCTCGTCAAAGATGGACACCAGCAAAGAGAAAATTCGCTATATTTTACAATTTTTCTTCGATCAAGGCGAAAAAGCAGCCAAAGCGGCTAAACAAAAATAATTTAGTTTATGGGCCCGATACTGTAAACGAACGTGTAGCACAAAAGTGATTTGCTAGGTTCCGTTCCGGTAATTTCGATGTCAAAGATGCACCACGCGTCGGGAGGCCTGTCGTCGAAAATTGCGATAAAATCATGAAAATAGTGGAAACAGACCGTCACGTGAGCACTTATTTAATTGCTGAGGAACTAAAGATAAGCCAGAAAACCATTTGGAACCATTTGCATAACCTTGGATTCAAAAAAGAGCTCGATGTTTGGGTGTCACATGAACTAACACAAAAAGCATAATGGACCGAATTTCCATCTGCGAATCGCTGCTGAATCGCAACAAAATCGACCCGTTTCTGAAGCGGATTGTGACTGGCGATGAAAAATGGGTCACTTACGACAACATCGATCGCAAACGGTCGTGGTCAAAGCTCGGGGAAGCGGCCCAGACGGTGGTCAAGACCGGATTGACGGCCAGGAAGGTTTTGCTGCGTGTTTGGTGGGATTCGGAAGAAATCATTTACTACGAGCTGCTCCCCAATGGCCAAACGCTCAATTCGGCCCTCTACTGCCAACAACTAGACCGCTTGAAGGCAGCACTTATCCAGAAGAGGCCATCTATGATCAACAGCGGCCGAATTGTGTTCCATCAGAACAATGCCAGGCCACACACGTCTTTGGTAACGCGCCGGAAGCTCCGGGAGCTCGGATGGAAGGTCCTAATGCACCCACCTTATAGTCCGGACCTGGCACCAAGTGATTACCATATTTTCCTGTCCTTGGCGAACGCGCTTAATGGTGAGAAGTTGGCCTCAAGAGAGGCCTCTGAAAATTAGCTCTCCGAGTTTTTTGCCAATAGGGACGCAGTTTTCTACGAGAGGGGTATAATGAGGTTGGCATCTCGTTGGCAACAAGTTTACGAAAAAAACTTCGCCCTTCCTTACTTCTTTGGCATTATAGTTAACTACAAGAGAATCCGTTCACTTCTGTCTGGATGAATATACCTTGATTTAAGGGAGAGCAGTGTTTTTCCTCAAATATATGTGTAAACTGCCAAACATTCTATATCTTATGCCCGCAATTAGTAGTTTTTTAATTGAATTACTATGAATGTGTATTTATGGTAAAATTGCTAATAACCTAACTGTATATACTTACTCTTGACGCTTACTGTACATAATTTATGACTTACGATTGCGTCTTCTTTGCTTCGCATGCAAGATCGTCAATATGCGCCTTTGAAGCTTCATTAAGATTTTCCTTTGCCTAGAAGAATGTAGCCTTATGTTAAATAATCATAGAACATTTCATTAAGACGTACATACGAATAAACATTAAATTTTAATTAAACTCTTAATAGTTAACCCTGAATAATTACACTAATTTACAATCATATGTGACTGTGATGTTATAGGCTGTTTCTTGCTAATTTTGGGTTAGTAAAAAGTTCCAGACACGTAGGATTTGTTAGTGTTGCAATCAAGGGGTTAGGGGTCAATTACTAAAATGACAAAAATAGCTGGATGGAACATTTTTGAACTCAAATTCGTAATCAGGACACCCCAAATACCTCCTCTTAGCACATCGGTCGCAAATATTTCCTTCAGATTTGTTGAGTAGTGTTATTATATACATACATATGTATGGTAGGTATTGTTTTCGCTTCTCTTGAAAGATATTCAGTTATTGAATATTTTTATCAGTACAAAAGATCTACTTAGAAAATGCGAGTGAATCGGTATATGACATCAACATTGGTCTGTTAAAACTTACTAATTAATTTTTTTTAGAAGAGTTTTCATGTCTGAAATGCATTTCACATTGCTATTTTCTTTAATTTAATTTCTATAATTTAATAATTATGTTCGCTTCTCTCTCTTCTTGGCGAGGAGTTCTGGGAATTTAATTCTAGAAGATATGCTAGATATTCTAATAGTCAGTTGAAGAGGCCAATAATATGAAACCTTGATTTTATTAAGTACTGCGAAGATACAAAAACTAGGAAAAAAAAATTGAAGAATTTGTATTTAAAAAAAAATTGGGTCAAAATCTTTTAATCATAAAAAATGCGTAATTATAGACATTTTTTGTTTACATTACAATGCCTTGAATATTCGGTTGTAAGTGGACCCTTCTACTAAACATTCTTATTAAAATTTGTATTCTCAAAGCATTCTTAAATAAAACAGTGCCGTCCAATTGACATCTCTTTGGATCAAATATTACTGAGTTGGGCATTCAATACCAATTATATTACCAAATTTCAACTAATAGCAAACTGCCTTTTAAAACTTCTTTTTGTTATTGTATACTTACGTTCGTGTTGTTATCACTGTTGTTAACTTTGATTATCTCATCGAATTCTTGACCGTTGTCATTTGAATCACTTACATCAATGTATTCCAAATCTTCGTAAACATCAAATGGTTTCCCTATAGGTTGATTTTCCGCAGTATTTGGTGATTTTAATGCTAAATCATGGTTGTTGATAACAATCTTTTCAGAATTAGGTCGTCGTGGAGTCGGAGCTTCATTTTGAAATGTTATATTTTTGGCAGGAGTTTCTCTAGATCTGAATGCTGCCTTCCGCACAAGGTAAAGAATTCGGGCATAACAAACCACAATGCAAATACAAGGAACCAAAAAAGCTGCAATGAAAAGAAACTCTTTTGGTGTATGCCCATTTTTATCAAGCAGTATGGAACAAGATCCAATAGAAGTATCTAATCCGAATCTTCCCCAAACACCACGCCAGGTAGGTATCATTATGGAAAAAGCTGTTATCCATGTACCCGCAATCATTAAAGCCAAATAGCGTCGTTGATAAATACTACAAAGGAACGAAGGCATAAATGAAAAATCTGTAATAGGTAAAGGTAATTTTTGATTCCAAACCGGGAATACTGTCGAGGGTGAGCGATTATAATGTATCTGTTAATGGTAATGAGTGATACAGTAAATAGCGAAACGGCCAGTAAGCCGTAACGCATAAGCGGGAAAAGTCTGCAAAGAAGTTCTCCATGTATCCAGGACCTCCTCAAAAATGTCGAAGCTGCCAAAGGCAGGTTGAAGCAGTCAAAAAGCAAGTCGGATAATGATAAATTTATTATAAAAATCGCTGTTGAGTTTCGCGTCTATAAATACAGAAAAATTGTAGTTGCATAAAAATGTTGGCTCGCAGTTTTAAAGTAAGTTCTATTAGTGTGTTTATGTGTGACATGTAGTTATGAACTATAAGTATTATATCGACATAAGTACATACTTTACTTATTTGTTGGAAAAAAGAACATTGCTAACATTCGTACTAATGAGTGCAATAATAAAACTTTTTAATTAATGGTTTGGTTATACATGTAAGTATTAAATATACAGAAGCTTACAGAAAACTTTACTTCGAAAATCTTTCCATGTATGGCCGTAATGAGCACCCACCTTACACGGCGGTTTGGAATTATGTGATACTGTCGTCCTCCCATACAACGGCATTGTTTAATACTATTTTAGCATTGGGAGATTCTTAGTTATAGAATAAGTTTACAAATATGTTAATGGGCGTGGTATTACCCACTTTTAGAAGAAAAGTCTCCTCTAACAATATACTCGAACAATTCCAACAACTTTTAGTATATTAAAGTGTTCCAGTGACAAAGTTCTCCTAAATCACTAAGGCTGCAATAACCAAATTTGCTAAGGATATTTCCTTTAAAAACACCTACCGACAGTGTGAAAATGGATTAAATTTCCCCATATAACGGTTTTTTTTTAAATTTATTTATTTCAGCCACCAAGGCCTAGAAACAGGACTTAGATACATGATACCTTATATTCTATTCTTATTAACTATTAATTAAAGTTATTGACTATTGTCTATTAATATTAAATACATGGGTAGAACTATTAATTTGAAAAATCTTTAAATTTTTAAGTTTTTAAATTACATTTTGAATCAATAAACAATCTTTAAATAATATACTTTGGAAAGTCTTTAAAACTTTATTTTTAATTTTTAAATTGTGACTGCCTGTTTCTATGATACTTTAGGTTTCCTTTTTTTGCAATTTCTTTCAACCACGTTACTGCTACTTTCTCACCTTCAACGCTCAGGATTTCCTCTGTTGCTAATACTGATCTTTAAGTTTCTATAAATTCTTGTATCCAGTGATCTATTGAGTCTTTGGCTGTACCACACAACCAACATGCTTTTACTTTGTCGTCAGCCCATTTTTTATTTGCGCCTTCTAACGTTCCACATCTTGCTTATATATTATCTTTGGTTGTATCTCAGCGATTTTGTTCCACTGTAGCTGCCTTTGTACATCCATTCCTCGCGTTTAAACTTCATCTCCAACTGACCTACTAGCGTCTCTTATTGCATCAACTTCTTCCTTACTGAATCCACATTCATTTAAAAACTTCGTTCTGTAGTTCAAACTCAGCTTACCTCCTCTTCCTCTGCATCTTTCAACCAGGCACTCTTTGACCAGGCTTTCTTTTTCCATAACTTTGCATTACTAATTTACACATTAAGGGCATGTGGCTGATTCAACTCTATCCAACACTCTAAATTCTTTTACTTGTACTAAGTCTTCAACACCTTTTATTAAGTAGTCAATTACAGACTGTCATGATTCGGCAAGAAATGTTAAACTTCCATCTTCATCACCATTTGTGTTACCATTCAGCACACACCACTTCTACTTTAATACTAATTAGTAGCTCACCTTCTGCGTTGCACTTGTTGTCTTTTGATTGTCTTTGTATACCCTCTTCTTCGGGTCCTGCGTATAAGCTACCTTTGTGAACTGTTCTTGCATTGAGATCACCATCTACAATGATTTTCAACTGTTCTGATTCCTCACATATGTTTTTTAACACTTTTTTAATTTTACCTTGATTGTACAATGTCTTTTCTTACTATGCCACCACTAGCTCTCCCTTTTTTTTTTCTCTTTCCCTGCTTTATACTTCCACTCGTACTCTTTTGGGAGTCTTTTAGCTAATTTTTCCCATCCCTTACTTTTTACCCATGTTTCAGTTAAACCAATTACAACATATTGTCTAAGATCTAAAACTCCAAAAATCCGTATTTTTTTACCTAAGGAATATTCCAAAACACCACTTTGAACTTATCATCTTTCATTGGCCCTGTCTATTAAAAATCCCCCTTTTCTATATCAATTTTTATTTGTTGCCACGAGAGCCATTTTCCGTCGACGTAAATTTTTCTACATCCTACTTCAACAGTATGATTGTTTTTACTTATTTTTTTCTTGAGCCATTATCCAGTGCACTTCTCTTTCTTCAGATCGTTTTCAATGAAAATCTTCGTATTTACTAGCACTTTTTAATTCTTCATGATTTCCTCTTTGGTTTCCCATTTTTTCAGTTTCACAATCACCACGGTTTTATCTTTACCTAGTAGCCACATGTCCTCGTCATCTACCTTCACTCTAAACTTTTCTTCTATAAACCTTACAGTCGTTTGCTTCGGATTATCATCTGTGTCTATTAGACCTTTAATGACGATGTTGTTTTTCTTCTCAAATTTTAGCTGCTTTTGCTTTAACTGCTACATTTTCTCAATTTCGGCGATAATTCTTGCCTTCTGCTGTTGAATTTTCTTTTTCCTCTTTCAATTGATTGTTTTGGTCTTCCGATAGAGTTTGTGGTTGAATTTTATTTTAGCTCAAAGTTTTTCTTCAGCTCATCAATTTCTTTTTTAAACTCCGTTTTAATTTCTTTATTTTTCGCCATGTTGTCATTTATTTTCTGTAGTTCTCCCATGATTACACTGAGCGATTTTTCAATACTTGTGGCATCATTTTTGTTAGTTCCAGCCTGAGTCGTACTTCTAGAGTTTATTGTGTACATGTCGATTTTCGTTGTTTGTACAATGCCTGTAGCGTTTAGTTTTCCCGCCGTGCGGCTGGGGGTTTTTGTGACTTCTGGATTACCCATAGCTGTTATGGATCTGTTTTACCTCAGCCTCAGCTGTGGTTTGCCGCTTAAAAAACCTAACCTTTTGTGTTTAAGTTTCGCAATTGGACTATAACCACGCCTAGTTCTCTCTTAGCACATTTTAAATTCCATATGATTCTTTTAATTACATATACTTATATTTTTAAAATTGCTTGACAATAAGTTCTCAAGTATACCTGAGCATTGTCAAAAATTAAAGCAATCAGCCCTTCCATTTCTCTGCCCCTAAAATAAGTATCCTATATAATGATTTCCGACTTTACACCTGACCAACCACTTTACAGGTTAATCAAAATCTGTGTTATTTTAAGGAAATTAAATGGACAAGTTTCCTTGAAAAGGATGTGGTTTACTACTGAATATGAATGGAAGTGGTCTAGACCTTGGTATAAACCTCATATCCCTAATATAAAGAATTTTTACCCTCTGGTTGACGTTTTTCACATCAACATAAAATATTTAATTTAGTCTCTTCGGCAATGCTCGGTGTTTGGTGGGATCAGAAGGGTGTGGTATATCATGAGCTTCTAAAACCTGGTGAAACTGTTAATACTAATCGCTACAGACAACAAATGATCATGCATTGATCGAAAAACGACCAGAATGGGCCAGAAGACAGGACAAAGTAATTTTGTTACACGTCAATGCACCTGCACACAAAGCAAAATCGGTTCAGGATAAAATCAAAGTACATTTAATATAAATTTTTCCTAACACCTGAAGGTGTTTAGACGGCTTTGATTCTTGCAAGAGTATAAAAAGTTCGGTTCCGTCCGAACTTAGCCCTTCCTTACTTGTTTTTTATACTAAAGTTGTTTAAATCAATCCAAACCTTGCCTTAGCCACTGTATAATCGTACTTATTGTTAGCGATCTCTATCACTCTGGTTCACTTTATACTTTATGTTTATATTTAAGTTAGAATTTAAGTTAGAATAATAGTTTTATTCAACTAACGGATATTTGGAACACCGAATCTGTCTGTACCACCAGCCCGTGAAAATTATAACTTTAGGAAAAATTAAAATATCGCGATGGTTCCCTTGGACGGTTTGTGTTGCAAATGGGCGGAATCGGACCATTCCTATAACTATGTTAAACCACAATTTGATATACAAAAGTGTAATATGGTACAGATCAAGTTGGAAGGGGCTTCAGCTGTATAAACATTTTTTATGAAGTGGGCATGGTCCCTAATAGGTTTAATGTAAATATATCACCAACCAATAAGACTATGTGCATATAGCTATGGGTGAAATCACATGATAAAGGTTATATTAAAAAATAATAAAACTGCGATAACTTATTAAATAAATGCGTCAAGAGCATTAAATTTATCAGGCAAGATAGCGATTTATGCCTTCCTAGGAATCAGTGCAAAAATCGGACAACAGGCTGACAGCGCTCTCTTTAATGTGAAATCATGTATCTCAGATACAACTACACTAAGATCTGCCAAATTTGATATATGACCTTGTTGTAACATGTTTATGTTACATTGTGATAGGTCACATCGAACAACAACTACGTCTACTGCTCATATAGCAAATTTTTAAATTCTATCTGATTCTTTAACTTAATATTATATATATCAAACACCAATGAAGATACTGGAATAAAATCTCGCAAAAATAGTATATCCGAGGTGTATCGGTAATAACGAAACTAAGAGATCATCTTTTCTACTGTATATAACGATTTTCGTTATTCCAGCAAACTCTGCACTGAATATTTCGGTCAGAGTAAGTTATCTTCATAAAATTGTATAGAAACATGCTATCGAGTATACTTGTGTAATGTCAAAGTTAAAGTAGCCTGTTAAGACCTTCCCCATGCCCCAATATGTCATATATAATAATTTTCGGATTCCATTGTAGTATTACAATGAAATTATAATAACTGGACAAGATTTCTTAAAAATAATATGGCTTAGCTCTATGTGAATGAATTTGGTCTAAACCTCAAATTCCTAATATTCTGATTTCCAATCCTCTGCTATTTTCCTCATGGTTCCTATAATTTAAATTTAACCCAAAAATTTAGTAATGAAACCAAGAAGTCTCCTACCTACTTTCGTAGAATAGAAACAGTGTATATTAAGTTTACCACAAAGTTTGTAAAACCCAGAAGGAAATGTCACATACCCTATAAAGTATACATACATCTAAATGTATAGTGACGTGCTGAGTCAATCTAGCCATGTCCATTTGTATATACACAAGCTAGATCCTCAATTTTTGAGATGTCGATCTAAAATTTTGCTCACGTTTTATTCTTCCCTCATACTACTCACTTAGCGGAACCGTCGATATCGGACCACTATAGCGTATCGCTGTTATATAAACTAATCGATCAAACTCAAGTCCTTGTATAGGAAACTTTTCTATTTGTGAAGGGTATTATAGTTTCGGTGCAACCGAAGTCAACGATTTTTCTTGTTTAATATAAAATCTTCCTTACTTCCATACTTGTTTGAATGAAAAATGTTATGCAATATTTTCCGTGTTTTGCTCTTTAGATTTACAATCTACTTACCTGTTTTCCTCTTGCCAACGCTATTATATTTATCATATTTCCTGGTATTCCCACGATCATAAATATAATACAAGCAATCGAAGCGAACATTAGAAGCTTGTCTGAATATCCTTCAAACAATTCTACACCAGATCCCTCGTTTCTAATAGACGAAATATTGAAAGCCATTGCAGTATAAGCCAAGAAGAATCTGAAAATAAGAAATGGTAATCGTAGATATCAAAATTAATGAACAAAAGGAAAGTGTTTAATTGCAAGCGTTACAACTTTGAGATCGGCGAGTAAGTGACTTGAGCTTTTGTACTAAAGCAACAGCGCAAGTATATTTTCAGATAAACAATTTTTGTACAATACTTTTTATTACTGCTGGGTAGGTAAGACTTTCTTTATTAATGATTTTTTTGGCTTTGCCAAAAGTCCTTCTATATGAAAGAATAAGTACCATTTTTATACAGGTATTACTTTCTTTGTTTGGCAGGGAAAGAACGGCACCAGTTTTATTGAAATTTATAGAACCATTCATGGCTGTTTCTTTTATAAAATCCAAACTCGGAAAAACCACCACATTTTCGTCGGCAGTAATACGGGACAATTATTACGTGAAATTATCAAAACGAAAAACCTTAAATAAGTAGGTTATTTTTAACCAATGGAGCACTATTTATTGTTGGAACCCTAAAATTTTATTAAACTCTTTTCTGATCTATGACCTGGTAGTAAGTTATTAAGGGTGCTTATATTTTGTATTTGAACATGTAGGTTCACACGACCAAATATTTCCCACCGATCGTAGTTAAGATGTTTAGTTGCGATGTCAACTATTGTTGCAAACCGTTCAACTAACAGCTGTTTAGCTAAGTAGAATATTTGTTTAATCTATTCTCAAATCGATAATATTCTGTAAGTTTAAGTATGCGAGTCATTCCTATTCAAGTTTGAAAAATATGTCAAGCAATTTAGGTCTTGTATATTTGATACAGTTTGGGGAGTTTTAGAGCAGTTCCAAAATGCAAGTGCTATTATTTCGCTACGTAAAAATAGTAATATCTCGCATGAGCGCTAAGTAGTGATGGAGTTCAGTCCTCATCCAAATTCTATGAAAGGTATTCAGTGAAAGTAAAAGTTGAAAATTGAGGTTGTAGGTATCCAGGGCATTTTGCTTCTAAGCAATGGTTGTCTATTGAGCAATAGTAATTACATTACGATTCAACACAATAATACAGGAAAGACGCGTGGTTTGAGTTTATATATCTACATATGTAACTGCTTTTATTTTCGTTGTACTTTTGATAAGAATTTTAAGATTTAATTGTTGAAAACGATCAAAAATCAAATATTCAAAACACATATACTGGAAAAAGTATATATGTGTACACTTTTTTATTTATATAAATACTACATATTCCAAGATTTTTTTGTAGTAATTCTTGTATACACATCCTAAGTGATCTACATATGTACTCGTATGTTTGTATGTAGAATATAATGTATCAGTTGAAATATTTAAATGTTTATATAAATATATATGTATACATGTATATAATAAATATAATATACATATATAAATATATATTTATATATGTATAGAGATAGAGATATGTATAGAGATGCACATAAACTATGAACTCTCCTTCCTTATTCAACTTACGTACATGTAGGTACATACATACAAAGATACCATATATATACACTTGCACAAGTTCATAAAGCACTTGGAAACAATTAATTTTGATTAACAAAGTAGCCTTTACTCACAACTTAAGACGAAATTATTTTTAAATGTTTATGTATGCAATGTGTTTAACAGTTTATAAGTAAATGTACGAATTTTCCAACGATATTTCAGGAACTGCATTTATTATAGATTAGGACTAATAAAATTTTGGTAGTGCATTTTGCACGCCTGCTTTACACCACAATACTTGACATTTTTAATCAACTTAAAACACTTCACAATTCGGAAATTACACAAATTTGTATTTGAAACCGACGATTTTACTCGGACAACTAACTATTACTAAAATAACGCATAGGAACTTTGGGAAACCCAGGTCTTAATTTGAAATTTTGGAGATGATTGTTTACATTTATAATTTTTTTTATTTTTAAAATTTCAAGCAAGAAAACAATAGGAAATCGTGTTGTTTGGAGATTGTTCTATTTTGCAGTTTGTTTTTATCTTCAGCATTTCACTTTTGGGCACACTCATTTGAATACATCTGTACATACATACAATGCACTTGCTTGCATATGTATGTATGGTATTTGCATACGTAAATAATTGTTTATAATTGTATATCCACTCATATGTCTGCTAATGTATGTAGAATGTAACAAGAGTGTTCATTGACGCCCAAAGAAATCGAAATTGGACCAAACAGAATTTTTGGATAAATCCAAAATATGCAATAAGTATCTAGCAAGAGAAAAGTAAGAGAAATCAAAAGGAAGATTTTGAGTCGTTTATAATATTATATATTCTAAATTCGCCGAAAGCCTTACAAACCGTTTACCGGTATGATAAATGAGAATATATTGTACTAACTAAAAGAGAAATTTCTTACAATAAAGCCAGTGCGGAAAATCTAAAACAAAAGGCATGATCTTTAAGTATTGAAACATTTAAACAAATTGTTATTAATTATTTTCATACTCTCGTAACATGTTTCCATAGAGTGTATTACTTTTATCCCCTTACCGTTGTTTGTATCACCTAAAACTAATCGAGATAGATATTGACTTATATATAATCCGGTTGACTCTCTGTCAGTCCATCCGTCTGTGCAGGCGATAACTGAAGTAAAAATTGAGATATATGAATGAAATTCGGTAATCATATTTCTTGGCACCATGAAAAGTTTGGTATTGCAGATGGGAATCGGACCATCGCCAGGCCTACAAAACACCATTAATCAAAAACTTTTAAAGAGTCATAACTAGACGACACACAAGAAACGAAAGCTATAACCAAATTTGCTCAGGACAAATCTTTTTGACAGTCGGAGGCTGTGTGAAGTAGGTTTATAACCCCAACAATTCCCATATAACGTTTATGTTGGCTTCATAGGAACCGAAATTAGAATTTGACAATGGGCACAATTTTAGATGGAATCCTATATCTAAGAAACTAATGGACCAATTTGTACTAAAGTTGATTATCTCGTTATTTTGTCGTTCGTATATTACGTTTTAAAAATGAACGGAATCCAACAACAATCACGCTTACTTTCCACATACCAGAGTTTTAAAACCATTTAATTCTTTCTATCTTACACGTAGAAATAATCTGATGAATGTTACATCTAGTGTATTATCCTTAAGGTCAAATTTAATGCTTCTGACAATTTTCGTTATCTATTTTTAGTAGCATTAACACATTAAAAAGTCAACTATATGCACTGGGGTCCACATATTCAGTACCTAGGCGCTTGATGATATTTTGATTAATGGCGTTTTGTGGGCGTGGCAGTGGTCCGGTTACGTCCATCTGCAATACCAATCGTCCTACGGTACCAAAAAACATGTGTACCAAGTTTCATAAAAATATCTCAATTTTTATTCAAGTTACAGCTTGCACAGACGGGCGGACAGACAGTCACCCTGATTTCAACTCGTCTCTTCATCCTGATCATTTATATATATAACCCTTTATCGATTAGTTTTAGGTGATGCAAACAACCGTTAGGTGAACAAAACTATTATACTCCGTAGCAACATTATGCGAGAGTATAAAAAGGAAAGATTACAATCATGTTTGGTATCTTATTACCTTATGTCAAAGGTCATAAACTCACTTGGTTTCATTATTACATTTTGCTTCCTGTCCCAGATATTTATATTTAAATCAAATATGTGACATACATAAGCTCAACCAAAGGGGCTAAATTTAATATATTAGGTATATGAGGAAAACTATTTATTTGGTCTATAAGACTAAATGTTTGGTTTGTAAGACCAAACGATGACGAGCTATACAATATAGTCTGCAGGGACTAAAATTGATAGACACGTCATTGATTGAGAAGTATTTCCTTCCAATTTTTTTAAATCTATCTTATCTATTGTACCTAAATACACTTATGCATGTGTATATTGTTTTGTCATGCATGTGCATGTGTATTTCATTGTATTGCGTAGATAATATGTTTGTTTATCTGCAAGTTCTTGATATAGGTAAATATGTTTAGTATTGTTAAGTGTTGAATGCATGGGTATTGCATGCATATTTATACTCTCGCAACCTGTTGCTACAGAGTATAATAGTTTTATTCACCTAAATGTTGTTTGTATCACCTAAAACTAATCGAGTTAGATATAGGGTTATATATATTTAAATGATCAGGATGAAGAGACGAGTTGAAATTCGGGTGACTGTCTGTCCGTCCGTCCGTCTGTCCGTCCGCCCGTGCAAGCTGTAACTTGAGTGAAAATTGAGATATCTTTATGAAACTTGGTAGACATGTTTCTTGGTACCGTGAGACGGCTGGTATTGCAGATGGGCGTAATCGGACCACTGCCACGCCCACAAAACGCCATTAATCAAAAACAAATAAATTGCCATAACTAAGCTCCGCAATAAGATACAAGACTGTTATTTGGTACACAGGATCACATAAAGGAGGGGCATCAGCAGTTAAAATTTTTTTTTAAGTGGGCGTGGTCCCGCCTCTAATAGGTTTAATGTGCATATCTCTATAATGTTTTTAGCACTTCTATTGACGGTGTGAAAATAGTTGAATCCGGTTAGCAACTCCGCCCACTCCCCATATAACGGTACTGTTAAAAACTACTAAAAGCGCGATAAATCAAGCACTTAACACGCCAGAGATATACCATTTTATCTCTGGGATGGTATGAGATGAGGCGAGGCACATCCCACTTTTAGGTGAAAACCCATATCTTGAAATCTGCTTAACCAATTTCATCAAAATTCGGTACATAACGTTATTTTCATATTTCTATGTTAAAGTGCGAAAATGGGCGAAATCGGACTACAACCACGCCTATTTCCCATATAACATCATTTTCAATTCCATCTGATTCTTTCACTTTCCACTATGCATATCAAGCAACAATGATTATATCGGGGTAAAACTTTGCGTGAATAATACGTTTAAAGTATGCCACCTTGTGACCAAAAATTGTCTAAATCGAACCAACTGCCCCTAAGTACTAAATATGTGGACCCCA